AATGATTACAGATGTGTGTGGTTCTTCCCCAGCACTGTCATAGGTGTTCTCCCCTTCAGAAGGGGCTCTAGCTTCCCGGGCGGCTCGGGCAAGCCTAGCCTTCCTGTTGTTTAACCTGGAATCCAAGCAAAGTGGGGCAATTTATAGGAAATTTGTAATCTTTCGGCAAAAGATGAATTCATGTCTAACATTCAAATCATTGCTAGGAAACATAGGTGTACTGGTGGAGAGATTATTCTGTGCAGACACCGTCTAGAGGCGAATCAGGTGTAGCCACGACATCTAGTAGAGAGCAGTACTGAGCTGTGGCACCGAATAGAGGTTGACGTGGCGCATTTTCATTGGGCTCTGGACGGCATTTGTCGTCCGCACAAAATAATTCATCGTACTGGTGAGCACCCATAAACTTCACAAAACTCTAAGGATGATAGTTTTGTTGTATTTTTGAATGATTTGAGTGGATAAATTGCAAATGGAAACACTTGGATTTTAATTTTGAATGTATAATTAAATGAAATAAATACCATTTCAAAAGTAAATCATCAAATCATGACCTATTAGAATCACTTTAATTTTAAATGGTATACAAGAAAATGTTGCAGAATGTCATATAGTTTGATAATATGCATCTAATAATACAACTTAGAGATGGTAATGAAAAGGTATTGACTTAGTGGATGTAAAATGTACTTCTCCACGGAATATATATCATATAAAAGTAGCCAGCAGACCGAACTGTATCAATTAATAGCCTTACAAAAAGTCACTTAGTTGAAACTTCTACTTAATGATATATCATTTTTTTTTAACACTATTTTCATTTTTGCGGAGTGCTTCTTTATGGGGTACGGATGGCAGTTTGTTTTGTTTACTTGAATTAAGTGATTGGAATCTAGTTTCAAATTTTATGATATAAGGGAAAAGATTAAAATAAAACTCTATGATAAAGACTTGAATCATCAAAATAAGAGGAAAAAAATTACGGTAGCATTGAAAATTTCAGCAAAAATTGAGGTGATTTCTTACCAATTCTTTAGCTGAGAAGCTGTAATCTCTGATCCCTGGAAAAGAACTAAATTTTACGACTCAGCACACATAAACAATACTAGCAAAAGGAAATTTTAGCAATAGAGAAAAGAAGTATGAAAAAAAGAGGGAAACCTGTGAACAAAGCTTTTCTGCCCATGACTGTAACATAGCAGCATTCCGCTGCATCTCAGGCTCTCCAAGTAGTGCATTCTCAATTAGAGATATCTGCCTTTCATTCATGATATTACGTTTTCTCTTTCTTGGTTGCTTCTCTTCACTATGAACACCTTCAGCTTTCTCCTCTTCTTGGAAAACAGCTTCTTTTGCAAACTCTGATCTAGCAAAAAATTTCCTTATATTAGGCATCATGATAAATAATATTTATCGAAATACTTCATAATTACATGACCATTTCACTAAAATACCATCGGAAAGATTTCATATTTCGTGGAAGGCTGCTTATGAGATAAAAACAATATTTTTGGGAAGGAAAAAATTATTAAGCTATGTTGTTGTTTTTCGAAAGATAATAATTTGGCTTATTTTATTAATTTAAAGATAGATTACAAACTTATAGCAATAATATATTTTGTATGTACTTTATAATAATTAACTTTTTTATCTACGAAAATCCAAGCAAAATCAACTTTTGTCAAATAGGTTTAGCTTTCCGAACTTCCAATAACAAACATAATAGCAACTTTATTAAATAACCCTCTACTACAACACAAAAAAGCATAGCACAATAAAATCCGACACAACATAGCACATCAAAGTAACATAGCCAAATGGCGCATAAAGAAAACAAGCTTGGCCTACCCTGCTTTGGAGCACGGGAAGTTAGCATACTTAGTGTATATGTGTCCAACAAAAAGTTTTTCATGAGGCATAAACTATAGGTGTCCTGATTCTCCACAAAATCAAAAGAATTTGTTAAATAGAATTAACGCAAACTGATAAAACGAATACTGAAGAAGAAGATTACTCTTTCTGTTTGATAATATTTTAATGCTATAAAATTGTGTTACCATGAATAAAACCAGCATTATTCTTAAACAGATGGACAAAGTGTTCCGTAAGTATTTATCCATAATTTTGACATCATTAGCGACTGTCTTCCCTATCAATTGCATCCTTTCACAGTGAATACAAGTATCTCATCGCTTCAATGGAGTGGTAGAATAGAAAGAAAGGGGGTTTTTATGTGATATATTAGTAAATATAGAAGTTTAGGTGTTAAATATGTATTTTCAATAATTTTAGGTGTTATGTATGTAAAAATCTCTTTTTTTAATTTATAGTAACGGTGCGCTTATTTTTTTTGTAAGCAGCCTCGAGGTCAGCGTATGTGCATGCTTGCCTGCACCCAAGAGAGGCTCCAACTCCAGGCTTGATGAGCTGAGTGGTGTCCCGCCTTTTCCGTCTATATTAATACCTTTTATGTCTGAAACATCATCAAGGACCTTGGGTTCAGCTTTCACAAATAGATAAGGCCTGCCTACCCCATTCTGAGCGTCCTGCAAAATATGCAAGCTAATTTGTTAGACAATCAAAATCACATAATTAAATTCATAGAAAGACTAGGTATAACTCACTTCAGGGAAATTTTTCGTAATATACCTGATGAGTTTTATTGATATTTCCATTTGCAAACTTTGCCCAAGTTGGCAAAGATTGCTGCATAGGATTGTTATCTTCAACGTTAATTTTCCCACCTTCAGTTTGCATTGATGCCTACTAGGACTTGCATGAATCAGCAATGCAGAATAACAGCTACTTGCTGCAAAGGATGCGAAAGCGTGGCATCTTCTAAAAGAATGATGTGTTCCAGGTTTTACCTGAGCATAGTTGTCAACATTTGGCAAGGTTAGTTTCTTTAGTTGTTCGGTGAAAAGCCTGCACACAATTAAGCAATTTTAAAGGAGGTCTTTTACCAAACCAATGAAGAGGAGGAAAAATTAATAGACCAACACAGCAATCGGTAACTTTGGCCTAGAATCTAAAAAACTTCTGCCGGATTACTTAAAAAAAAAGGACATCCTACACCAAAACTAGAGCACTTGTTACCAAAAAAGTAATATCAAGGGCATGATACTAAATCATTCACAGTAAAATCTGATCAATTCAATATTTTAGCTAAGTAAATAATCAAAAACCAATTAAGTGGAAACCAGAATAAAACAATAACTTCTAAGGAACTTAAGTATTAAGTATAAGAATAGCCAGCCTACTCACCTTCCTGAAATTAAAATCACTAGAAAGGCTCCTATGTTTCCTGATTCGACTTTCAAATTAAAAGTTGAATTCTGCCAACAAATGACACTTCCAAACGTTAATATAGCTCCTATCTCATCTTGTTGGGTAGCTTCAAAGGAAAGCCAATTTGATCAAAGGGGATTTTTAGTGGGGGGGGGGTGCTTGGGAAATATGCTTCCAATCGATGACACTTACAACCTCATCCCAGTACAAACTCGAAACTATTGTAAACTAGGGAAGGGAAAAGCCCTTAATAACAACCAGACAATTGCCTTAAGAACAGGAGATGAAAGACCATGAATAGGGCCTTGAACTTCTAGCTAAAGAAACATGATTGATCATATTGCAAATGGGTGGTGCAGAGAGAGGTTGAACCACCTCAAGTGAGCAGAGCTCCATGCTAAAAATGATGATTGCCATCCGATTAGCACTTACATTCAGCAATGTCAACATAATTATGAATCATTTTTCAAATTTTATTAGTGCTTTGAAATTAGGGA